TAAAAGAATAAGGCATTATCATGTCTCTCCTCTCTTTTTTTTAAACATCACAAATAATTTTGATCAAGTCCTATCATTCGAATATTGGATTAAATTCTGATGCAATTGTTATCTGCTCTAAACCCATTTCTCTAACTCAAACCTAATGCAGATTTTTCCATTTTAATAAAATCTAAGAGAAATAAGAGCACACACAGAGAGAGATGCTCTAAGATAAAAACAAGCCCCTCACTCTGCAAGGTCCTCATGCAGTGTCTCCAGCAGAGTCCAATACAACCACTGTTATGCTACTCACTATCAAATATTAGTCACACCTCGGCCCTACATTACGGTTTACCATACAGGGTCAGCTGAAGATCCAGATACAAACAGTGCTGCATAGCCAAGCCATCTTTAAAGAGCCATTTCCTTGGTCCAGTTATCTGAAATCATTTGTTGGCAAGACCCTGTCAGGATCCCCACTCTTTGACCACTGCCTTGACTTTAGGGAGCCAGGAGACACATTTTCAAGCATAAAGGTTGCTAATACTCATAAAGTCATAAAGAAGGAGGAAGATATTTGCAGGTTCATGTTTTAGCCTTAAGGTCATTGCTAGCCAGCTGGTCTGGTTTTGCTCCCCTGTGGCTTCATCAGCACTTGAAGAAGGTAATGAATCCTTAGAACTTGTTTGTGTCCTTTTTCAGAGCCCTGCCATGGCCATTCACAGAGGTCAGAAATCAACCCTGTTTGTCTCAACATTTCCAAGTATTGCTTTGTGTATGCAAGAATTAGTGCAAATACCTTCCACATGCTTATTCATGATTATTAAACTGGAGTATGATTTTTCGTGATGCTGACTCATGGGAATCATACCATTCTCCTGAGACAGATCCATTCAGTTCAATGAGACCAACACAGGGACGGCACCTCCATAACAGCCTAATCCTAGAGAAGTGATTTTATGTTAGGGGATGGATGTTTTAAATAAACAGCCAGAACAAGAAGGAAAACATCATTATTTTCCTGTTTGTCTATTTTAGAATTTTGGGGGGTATTCTTTAATAAAACGTACTTAAGTACAATTTTTATCTTATGGATGATGCTGCTAGTCTTTAGGTGTCTTCTGTTGCCTGAAAGCTGCTGTGGCTACAAGGTCTATTTTTCTTCTTCCCCAATTTGAAGCAATTGGCACAGGCTGGTCCATCATGGTGTAAAACTCTCATTTAATAACAGTATTTTCTAAGCAGCCCTATTCTTCTTTATATAATTTCTTCTCTTACCTCACTTCTTGTAATCTTCACAGCAAATTCTGCTTATGTACCTTATACTCATTTTTAAAACTCAGCTCTCTGTATTAAATAAACTCCTTTCTTGACTGTTTTTTGAAATCTCAGTAGTATCTCATACAGAGAGTTTCATTTCATTTCCCCAAATCCTCTGGTGCAATGCCTGTAATACTGTTTTGTAAGCTGGTAAAATTAACTTCAGCAATTGTATTAATTGGAATTTGGACTATCAAATAGGTTAATTCTTAAAACTTCCTTATCCCAATTTTCTTTTGCACTCATTGTTTGTTACGGCATCATTTGTGAAAGTCATCCTAACCTTATGGGAGAACCAGACAATCCTAATTATATTATTTTTTAATTTCTTTGCTAAGTTATTATGTTATAAAAATGTTATAAAATATTGTTATATATTTTGTTATATATATAGTTATAAATATTATAAAATAATGTTATAATAATAATATAAAATAATGTTATAAAAACCTTTCTCACAGAAAGCTGCCCTCAGTCTTCAAGAACAGAAACTGTATTTTCAACCTAATTTGCATTTTATGCTTTTCAAATATGCTGAACTGACATCTCTAGAGGCTGGGGTCTGTTATTTACACACAGAATAAGGACATCAGAGAGAAAAAAAAAAACAACAGCAGAAGCTTCCCATTGCAACTTGCCTTGAAGCTGTCTTTGAACAACCACCTCGAGAGGTGACAGAGCATTTCAGCTTCTGTGGCTTATTCAATCTTGGTGGTTTCTGATGAGGCTTCTAATGAACAAATACAACTGTAACGTCATTTTTTCATATAATAACAGCACTCCAGTATGTCTGGTAGGCAGGTCACTGAACAGCCGTCATGAGGCAATGACTTCCAGTTGGTTACTATACTTCTAAATGTCAAATTTTATCCTTAAAAACCTCTACTGTGTAAATGTCTAGCACAAAATTAAGTTCTCTCTCTGCAGATCATCACAGGAACTTAGTTGTTATGCACCCACCATGTACCTTAGCTTTCTGTAGTCCATTTCAGCTCCCACTGAACAAATTCCTTCCCACTAGGTCTCAGTTGACTTCAGTCATATCTGGATTTACCAGTGATCCTTCGTATCTTCAACCAACAGATACAGATGTTTCCATCTGTCTTTTGTTGGATAACTCACTGCCTTATTCCTCCTCCCAGTTTATAGTTCTGCTGAATACTCTGAGAGTTTCAACTCTTCTACATAATTAAGATCTAACTAAGCTCTGCATACCAGATACAGTCACGCTGCTCAACAATTACAAAAGGCAAAATGGTTCAAATGAACACGTCAAAATGTCTCATTTTCCCATTACAATTACTACTTGAATTTAACTTAACCTTTTCCATGCTCCTGTTTCTGTTTTCCCCTAGTTATAAATGACTTGAGTATCACTTGCTTTTTACTTCACGTTTTTCTGTCTTTTTTTATGGAAAAAAATCCCTTGCCCATGAGAACCTTCTACCTGAACCACAGGAAATGTTTACAGTGCAATTGCGTATAAATCTTTCGGGTTTCTGATTTTGCTAAAAACACGTATCTCAGCTTAGGTTCACTAAAATCTTTGCTCAGTGCTAAGTAAGCCTGACAAGATCTCCGGTTCTGCACAGAAAGCAATGAGACATATGCAACATGATGCACCATGAAAATCATTCCTTTCAACTGAGTTTCACTTTGATGTCCATGAATAGACTGAATATCAAGCTCATGGCAAAAGCCAAAGGATGTGTAGCGGAGCCTGAAGATTGAAGGTGGTGAATCAAACCCATCAGATAATAGGGTCTCTGCTCTACAGACAATAAATATCATAGTGTCTGCTAATCGAAATCATTGAAGTATGCCTAAAAAGCTACTTTCTAATATGTTTATGGAGGACCTGCGTTACTCTTCTACCCGGAAGATCTTCTGCTCATTTAACTCACATCATGCATTGACAAGGGTTGGTCTCTCTTCATTTCCTGGAGGAGCCACATTATCAGTCCAGCTGAGTGCATTTTAGAGCTAAACTACTTCATTGATTCATCATCCAGGTATATTGACTATCTGTTAAAGTGAAACAGTTCAGTTAAGGTATTCTCCTTTCACACTTTCTTTCAGCGTGTCAGCTGAAAGGGATGCCAAACTACTGATCTTTGTTTTGAAACTGTCTTTTAATCCACTTAAGAGTCTCATCCAGATCTTGAAGAACAAACAAGCAAAAGAGCTGGATTCTATCATGATTAATTACAATGGAAATCAGTCCCAGCCTAAACATTTACTGAATGCTTAATCCTTGTTAATGTTTTTACTGAATATAAAAGCCAGCTTCATGGAAAAATACGTAGTATTTTTATTATCATTATCCTGTTTTGTTTTTTTCATGCAGCAAGTGCTTCCTTGGGAAAAAGGTACCTGGTAAAAAGCAGAAATAAGATTTTTTTGGGTGTGTGCATGAAGGCAGTGTTGTTAACAGAGGAAATATTTTAGCATGGGATAAACCACGGAAACAGGCAAACATACAGGAGGTTTATTTGATATGCACAAGCCAACGAGGGCAGTCAGCATGTGCAGAACACCAGAACCACGTGTGGAAGTGGGTAGCAGCAGAAGGTGATGCCACAAAGAGGTACGGCACAGTGTATGAAAGAAAGTAAGACAGACAATCCAGTGTCAGCTCATTTTCTTTGCTTAGAGTCTTTGCTGGATCATCTAACCAGAGTGTCCACTGCTTTTGCTCTTGCTACATGCAGAAGTTCCTTTCTTAGCATGTTGGAGAAAGTGAATATGCTTTCAGCACATGCTAGTTTATAGCAATCACTGCTTATACCAAATGTTTTTGATCACCCACTATGCTAGAACAATTCCACAAAAAAGAAAATCTGTGTGATTTTTCACTCACTGTTGTTGTCTCCTCTTTGTCCTAACTTCCCAGAAATGCTAAAAAGATGGATGGAAAGGTAGTCAAAAAATCACATATGGTGAATGACATTAAACACTAAAATCTTATGTTCTTTGGGTACTTATCCTTCTCATAGTAATTGCAGTAGTCTCTGCACACAAGGAGAAAAAAACCCAGAAAGGTCATCACCTCTTAAACATTGTATTTACTAAAGCGTGAAATCAAATTTCTCAAACTTGGGTGCTGCAGCTCAGCCCTGTGGCCACACTACACCGTTGAAAGACCACCTTATAAACGTGCTACCTTTTCTTCCCAGTGGAAGTTAAGCTCCTCTACAACCACTTTGCAGCCAAGCAGCAGTAGACATTTTGTTTTCAGGGCTGCAGAAGGATAGTACACAGCATGAGAGAGAAAGATTTTAAAAGGTAAAATATCTCAAACTGCTTTTTGCTTTATGAATAAATTCAGCTACAGATACAACTATTAGCCTTTATGCCAGTTCACAGTACCTTATACCATTTTAAGCAGTCTCCATTTGAGGTCCTGATCTGACTTCTGTAGTTATGAGTAAGTACTGTCATCAGCTCTAAAGCGCCATAAACCATTCTTCTTCTTTAACTGCTAAGGACATTTCAAGTTCTGTAGAACACAGAGTCACCCACTGCATACAACATAATTTAAACAGTAGTAAGAGGAATATACACCAATCGTAAGTGTACACTTAAGCTGCTATGAACTACCAATCATGTCTGCCTACTAAAGACCTGGTTCCTACACCGATATCCATAAATATTTGCACATTTGCCTATTTTGAAAAATTTAATAGTGATATACTCACATGACTTCCTATTTGCTCGTGACCGCTTCCTCTCTCTAGGCACCGCTCGCTGGCTTGGCACTTGGGTGGCGGACTTGACAATGCGATCCATGATCTCATCTGCTGCGTCATCTGTTGCATTAGGTGAATCGTCGTTGCCAGCGTTCCATGAACCGATACGGCCTGGAAAAGTCCAGCAAATGAATTGAGGGAAAAGAAGACAGAAAGTCTCTTGCGTCACTTTGGTTTTGCAATTGGGTTTTGGGGGGAATTACAGCAGGCAGCTCAGTCATCGCTACTTCAAATTGGCCAAAGGAGAAGACTCTGCCTAATGGAGAATATTTCTAAATAATACCCTAGACTCTCTGCTGTATCAGCAGAGAACCGAGAGCACAAATGCAATTTTCTATTCCCTTCAGCCTCAGAGTCTTATTCTTGACCATACAACTGGCAAATGTCTGCTAGACTGTCTATAAGCCAAGGATTGCTAGTGTTGTGTGACCATGTTTCTCTCCGCTCCTATTACACAGAGACTAGAAGACATGGCACATGTTAGAGATTGATGCAAATCAGCAAGACAGATCCTTTGTACCAAAAGAAAGAATTAATTTCCAAGCATCTGTATCACAGCCTAGTGCAAAGAAGACATGAAAAGGGCAAAAGGTGTGGTTTGACATGTCTCATTGTCCCTTTCACAATGAAGAATTCACCTTCTCATCACAAAGCTGTTATGTGTCCTGGCACAACTGCGTCTGCTCTGTTATGAGCAGAAAAGCAAGAGTCGCTGGCAAGCTGAAAAGCTAAATAAGCAATTTTGGTTAAAACCACAAACAAACAAGTGAGCCATGTCTCCGAACCCAAGGCTCTGGCGCTCCTTACTCCACAGAGCTGTGTCAGACACATCTTTGGGTTCCTCCACTACAGACTACAGTTCCGTGTGCTTTTTGGTTTTAAATAATTTGAAGGCTAGTATGCAGTGTGAACACTGACAGAGAGCTTTGCAAAAGAGTGGGTGTCGTAGAACTGCAAGCAGCTAAAAATTCACTGGCAAGGCCACTCTGTATCACATCCTCAATGTTAATAAACAACAGCTTTGATTAGCACTTTGCTGCTTGTCTCCTGGCTCTTGTCAAGCGCAGTTGTATTACAATAGTGCTTCTGACAAGCTTCTGTCTGGCTCACCCATCCTCTGCCTCCGCTGTTCTTCAGGGGAACACAAGCTGACTCTCATTACCAGGACACACTTCTCGTGAGCATTCAGTGGATTACTTCAGCTGTTCAGCTTGTTGCAGTGCAGCTTGAATTATTTCATCTTTGTACTTTAGCTAGTTGACTTGCTTCTTAAATTGGGGCTGTGAAACCTCTAAATTAGACAGGGTCATGGTTTCAAGCCTTAATAAACTACGCACACACAGACTTAGTGGTGGATGCGCTGGATGTGCTATCAGTGTTATCAAAAAAGAATCCAGAAAGTGTAAGTTAACCAGATGTGAGAGAAAAGAAATATGAGAGCAGAAAACTGAAGACTTGAATTTTGGTGCATCACCTTTACTCCAAAACCATCTTCCAGGTATCATGTGAATGGGAGGGGGTGAGGGGAAGATGAAAGAAAATAAACTGGTGAACCCAGTGTCTGTAAAACAACTTAGCACAAGGAAAGTGGTTTACTGGCTGCTTAAATGAAGAGGTGTACCAGTGAATCATGTCCTGGACAAAAAAAAAAGGCTATCTCGTTGCCAAGAATGGTTGTACCAGTGAGCTCTTCTGTCAGAGTATCAGGTGTTGGAATCCGTGGATTGGGTCAGGTTTTCATTTCCTCCCTGTCAGCTTTCAGCAATCACCTGTGCTGACATTTGGAAACAGCAGAGCACTGTGGACCTCAGAGAAAGAGGCATCTGTCAGGACAGCAAGGAGATGCAGGGCTCTCCACAGCAGCTTTGATGCTCCTGTTCTCCATGTAATCCACTACCTTTGCAGTTTAGCAGGGAGGTGGTTAAATGATTCATCATCTTTTTTCTACCCATTTTCCTCTCCTCAATCATTCTTAAAATGCTGCAAGGCCCTTTCACTTGAATTTGAATTGCTACTTTCTACTTGCTTCTATTGAAAATGAGAAGAAAACCACATCATGGATTCCCTGGATGCCCCATTTTGCTTTCATGATGAGAACAAGAATAAAAATTTGGATGTTAGTGGGCAGCCACATTCACAGTGGGGGGGAGAGGTGAGAATCTCTGCGGACTTGGACTCCTAATGCCCCTAGGCAGTACTTTGGCTGTGATCCATATGTTAAAACTTCAGGCAAATTCTTCTACACCCCTGTGCCCCAAATCACCACTTCCAGCACGGAAACACCACTAGGGTCTTCTCCTTCTCCCTCAACCCTTTCTGCTGGGAGCGCTATGCAAGGGGTCCATGATCCGCGTTTTAGCCACCGTGTGGCTACCATGCCACAAGAAACATGGCCAAAAGGAAACTGCTCGTACTTACCTCGGCTGGCCCGGCTTCGAGTGCGGACCCCAAGTGCCGTGGTGCTTTCCCCGCCAACAGAGGAGGTCTTCAGTACGGCCTTCATGTTCTCGTGTTCTGCAGCATCCTCGGCGTACTGCAGCCCCTGGGGCTGGCTCTGGCAGGGAGGTGAGCTGCTGGAGAACTTGCCGGACTGCGGGAGGAAAACGGATTTGTTGGATTAGCAGAAAAAAGCACAGAGAACAGGCCAGAGTCTTAACTGTGAATTGCAAGGAGGAAATTGCCCTCCTGGGCTTGGTTTGGAGTGTAGCTGTTCCTAAAAGAGCCAAGCGACAGTTGCTCCTCTCCCAGAGCATGCACCCTGAGCAGAAATAAACTGGAAACAGGGTGACAGCAGGGAGCAGACACAATCAGAGGAAAACCAGATGCACTAGCTCAAGCTTTATAATTTTGACCTTCTGTCTGAGAGTGTAAGGTACTAAGCAAAGACTTGCTTTGAAACCTTTGACCCAGGCTGGGCCTGATCTGGGGTCAAGTATGACACTGAAGGGGACAGCATGAGATCCAACACAAATAAGAAATTGCTTTTTTTTGGTACAGTCACCTTTCAGTAACAAGGCAAAACGGGGAAAGCAGCCTCAGAAGAGGCACTTTTCCTTCTTGCCTCTCTGCATTGCTGCACAGAGAACTCTCAAACTGCTCTAAAACACAAATATCTACAAGTAACCTTAAAATACGTTACCAGTCACACTGAAAAAATCCCTGGTCCCAAAACACTCAGCCAAATTATTTCATGGCCAAAACACAAAAATTGCAGTCAGCAGTTAGAAGAACAAACAAAACCTTACAAGAGATTTAGGAATCTGCCCTCTGCTTCCCCAGCCTCCCCCCCTCCGTGATTCCCCTGTCACCACGACTACGTGAACAACAGCAGCCACATTAGCTGTGTGAGGATGCAGCAGCTCCACCAGTTACTGAAAGCAGCCATCTAGAAATGGATGAAAACAGCAGAAACGGATACTTTCTAAGGAGAAGAAGAGCTTGCATTGCTAGGCTGCTCTCCCTGCCCAGCCTCTGCCTACAAAGGGCTGCAATGTTGGTATTCCCTCCACTGCTCTTATCTACAGAAAGGCTGAAGTACATTTAAAATACAGTTCCGGCTGCAGAAAATACCAGCTTTGTCAACAGCAAACAGGCATCAACAGATAATAATACCCCTTGGTATTCTCAGTCATATCAGTCCAGCATCAGAAACTGAAATATGTTTTCTTTTTCCTTTTAATCTTTCTTACTCTGATGACTGATTCAGCACAGATGAAAGAGAGTGTGCTGCATTCTCTTCTTCTTTTGCATAATAAACAACATTAATTATTCACTTAATGGTATCGAGCCAGTCAATTAAAGGGATTCAAACCTGCAGAGCCTTTCTGTCAGAGGACAGTAAATTGGAAGAAGAGACTAGGTCCTACTTTCAGAGCTTTGATTGAGTCACTGGGGCTGTCAAGACTGCAAATTGAAAATATTTAATCTGGAAATCAATGACAGGATGATTCTATTTTAACACAGTAACTTTTCAGGGTAAGATATCAAGTTAACTGAGGAGCAAAACAATTATCCCTACAAGGCACTGAGCTAAATATATCAGTGTGAGATTTATTTTTGATAGTGAGAAGTTTGTTTTCTTGTTAAAATATTAGCTTGCAACATTTTGATGTGGAAAGTATGCAAGTGCTAGAGTTTCATATGTGAAATTAAAAGACAGAAAAAACATTTGAGAGAAACTTCGATGAAAGTGCATGCCATTTTTGCATTAAGAATACTCTTTATACACAATGGGTTGTAAAGCTAATCGATACCATCTCAGAAAAAAACAAAGGATAAAGTCCTCTCATAACTGTTAGTTACTATTCACACAGGTTAGCTAAAGGTTGGCATAAACAGCCTAATTCATGTAATTTTCTTCCGGCCTCTCAAGCTATACAGCACAAATCATCACTGGGGGAGAAGCTCTATAGCCAGAAGTTTTATTTCACTTCCTTAATTTTCAGATGTTGCCATAGATTAATGCCCAAACCCCAGCCTCTTGAGCAAATGACGACCATTATGAAACAGTGAGCATTAAGCACATTGTTTATGTTCAGCAAATTGAAGAAAGCTCTAATGCTGAACAAAAAATGCATTGCACAATAGATGCTCCTCAAACCAATAAACCATTTTATTATGAATATAGCTAGCACATTATAGTCTTAAATTATTTATTCACTCCTTTATTGATTTTCAACATCACCTTCAGAGGCACTTTATGATAAATACATGAACTACTCCACTGCTCACCTCTGTGGTGACTGAAATATCTTATTCACAATTCATATGGCAAGGAGAGCCATTACAATTTGCTTTTTATTCCTATATCCTGATGCTTTTGAACACTTTATAAAATAATGCCATTTGGATTTACACAGCTTAATAATGAGTATGAAATTATCATGGTAATCCATAGCCCAAGGTAACTGATGATCCCCATAACATTCAGATCACTGATAGCAGGAACAGGGTAGTAGGATAGTAGGAATAATTCGCAGTTTAGTAAACAGACATCAAGGAAACAAAATGAGGAAACTTAAAATTATTAAGGCCTCAGATCAGGATATCCTTATTCAAGAGACCAGGTATGCACATGGTTAAAGCTGACCGTAAAAATGCATACTTATGATTGAGCCAAAAAGCTATGAGAAAAATGTCATGGTTCATAGCTCCAGTTGAGCAGATGGAGTTGAGCAGTCCATACTATCTGAATTAGAAATTAGATGTCACAGCACACGGGGGACATGGGAATGACATGCTCTTTCAGAGAACCATACCTCAGCATCCTCTTCTTCATCGGTCTGTCACCGGAAACAAAGAACAGGGTGAAGAAGGACAAACAGCAAGATTTAGGAAAGACAGTATGGTCAAACCACAACAGAGTAAGAGGTAACCATGGTACTGTTTATACAATTATAGGAGGACATAAAAATACAAAGCTTATAAGGAATTAATTCCTTAGCAATCAGCTCTTTCTTTTTTTTTTTAGTTAATTGTACGTAGAGCAGACTGTCACTGCCAGTAGGGTATATTGAAATTTCCTGATTTTTCTTAGAGAAATGATGAACTGAAATATTCTTCCTACAATTCCTCCCCCTTGAGGCATGCGGTTGCTTGCCCACTTTTTGCCCTGTGGAAACTGGGAGCACCAGGAAGGGCTCCCTCTCCTTTTCCCAGCTCTGTTCAGCACAGGGAGGTCCTGGCTGCTCTTTCTCCCAGTGCAGAGGTTGGCTTCTTGGCAATTCCTTTTCGCTACACTTAAGTGCTTGTTTTGATTCCTTTTTTAGGCTGGGGCTTTTCAATTTCCAATTTAACAGAGCACTCAAATAAAATGCCGAGTGGTATTTGAATAAATGTTTAAAGTTCTTCAGTAGCTGCCCAATACCATATTGTGGAAATCAGAGAGATGCAATTATCCTTTGTCATTCAGGGCTTTCACCCTCAGTCACAGCAGGCACGTAAAACTATCTTGACAGTTACAGTACATTAAATGCAACAGGCATATCAAAATATTGTGGCATATGGAGTGTTCTTAAATTTGGGGATTTACAGGGAACTAGCAAACCATTGGGAGCTGTGTTCCCAAATGCCTGGGGAATTCTTCATCAGGTTGTAAGATGCCCCACATGGAAGGTTCCCAAAGTAAAACACAATTTCTCAAGTATCTGGGCTTCTTGTTTCCATAATTTTCAGTTTGATTGCTTATGAAGTGCAAACATAGCACAGAAATTCAATGCATTTTTTTATTTGTGGGTTGTTGTTTTTTTTTAGAAGAAGCATTCCACCAATTCTATTCCCCTCCCTAGTGTTACTAATACATATTTTTGACCTTATCTCCATCTCAGCTATGATTTCTGTCTGGGATTGATACATTCTGTTCCAGAAACATTCATCATTAAAAATGAAAGCCTGATTTACTTTGGCCCTCAGCTTAGTTTCAGAACAATCTCCATAAGAAGATTAGCTGTGAGAGTGCTGAGCAGCCCATTAACATTACTTTTTAAGGGTATGTTTTATTCAAAGAGTGAGATGCTTATTTTTCTTTGGACACAGTGGCACTGACAGAAACACAGGCAGATGTTTTGCAGAGGGACTCGGCAGGTATGTTCCCTTTACATTAAAATGATCCATTTGTTTTTTTCCATCCCCTGGGGGGCAGGGAGTCACACCGTAAAGCTATTCTTCCGAAGAAGGCCACTGTTCACGTTTTGGCATGAATAAAAAACAGAAAGGAGAAGAATGGGAAGCAAGAACATACTTGTATTCAAATCCATATGTACATCTATCTAATAAATAAAAGGCAGGAGGAGAGCAAATTAAGCTAAGCCATATGCAAAAGGCACTCAGGGAAAGGTGAAATAGCAGAGTACACACATTACAAAAAGTGTGCTCCAAACAGAAGTGTATTATATTATTACTTTATATCAAGCTAGATTTTTACAGGGAAAGTCCCAGCTGCTAGCCCTTCTGCCCATTTAATCCAGCTCAAAGTTATTTGTTGCGGACTTACTTTAAGGGCAATGTACTCCTCTCTGTTTGACTGCTCATCTCCAGTACCAGGGGCATTACCATTTCCCTTCCTCCTGCTCTGGGTGGAGAGGGCTCACACCTAGAACCGCTGTCCTTCTACACCCAAAGCTACTCCAGCGCACAGGAGGAGCACTTCACCATCCCCATCATATTTCCATGTCTGGAGAGCCATTTGCCCCCAGGAAATACTGAAATTAGGAGTCAAAGTACAAAATAAATAAATCAACCTTTTATTTCACAAAGGAATCTGCTCTCGCCCAGGTGTGCACATTCTGCCTTTTATTTCCTTCTTCATTTCATCATTAAAAATACACTGAGAAATATTAATAATTTAGGAAATTTTTAACATGGAATGTTACCGAAAAGCACTGAGAGAATATTGCTATGCTGAACACCTCTTGCAGGCACAAGATGTTAATTTTAAGAAAAAAAGGCTGCTTGATTTTTCTGTCATCCAATATTGGATGCTGCAGGACAAAGTGAGATCTCCCTCCTTCCCTCCTTCCTTCCTTTCCTCCCTCCCATTTTTCCTTTAGGCTAGCATTTCTATGTGGTGGATTTGCCATTTCAAAATATTATTTCTATTACATAGCAATTTTGGAACTGAAACTCTTAAGTATCGTAAAAAGCAGAGCTTCATAAATCTGGGAGACAGATGCTTATATTACCTACTATTATTAAAAATCATTAAAAAACTCAGACTTGTATCTATAATTGCCTTTCTTCCCTATTTTGCTTGCTTGTTATTTTTAGTGTGCCTGAAATGAGTGCTATCATTGGCTAAAGCCAGATACAAGATTACAGAGACTAGGCAATTTTCCGTGTGAAACTGGCAACTCACTGTCCTCCTTTTTTTTCCCCCCCTTACCCTCCCCTCCATCTTTCTCTCTCTTGCAAACCACGTTCACCAAGATTTCAACTGACAAAGCCCAGTTCACTTCAGCTATTAAAGAACACATAAACATAAAGATCTCTGTGGTAAAAGGCTGAAAGAAAGACTGGAAATACTCTCCATCGTGTTTCTCAGCCCTACTCCATGTGAGCAGTTGCTGAAGCTGATGCAAGTTCTCCATGCAAAGAGCCAGCAGACTCTCTCCATGCAAAAAGCCAGCACCCCTCTGCCTTCCAAGTCTGCAGGGGGGACCAAGGTTTAAGAGATACGTGCCTTTTCGTTAAGAACTGGGATGGTTCTGGCTTATTCCTTTCCCATTTTTGCTAAAATCCCTCTTCTGCCTAAAAGCAATGTACTGTAAGGTGATAAAAATGAGATCCTGAGGAAACTTGCAAAAGGACAGGGAGGTAAATATCAAATAACCACACAATCCTTCTAGGCTACCAAAAGCAGACATGACTACTTCTTATTAGAATTACTTTCTTCTACAAAGTTTCTTTCCAATGTCAAGATCTAAACGTTTTTCTATCAGTGTTTTGTAACTAGTTGAGCATACTGTCAATGCATTACTGATATATCTCCCCTTTCCAATGCCTTCAAATATAAATCACTAAGAAAATCAAGACCAGATACAAACTACGGCCAACACAAGACTACAATAAAACTCCTCTTTTTCATCATTCTTCACATATAAATATCTTCCATCCTGCTGACTTGGAAACTTGTTTTGAGGTAGATCTGACTTTGAAGTTGTCAAAAGAAGCTGTGATAAATAGTCTGATGCAACTTTAATTCTGTTTTACCATATACTGCAATCAAATGAATGGTAAATGGGGCCATATTACTGGGCTACAGTTAAAGAGATTTAGTAAGTCTTGAAATAAATATATGGCCACACGAATAACTCCCTTGAAGAACACCTCTATAAGGGGAATTTTAAAGAATGTGTTTTTTTACTCCAGCAGGCTTTTTGTTTTTAACCAATGGGACCGTTATATAATTGCAAATTAGTGACAGGCAAAAAATTCTCCCTTTCTGGGGACCTGTAAGATATTTTTAGGTGGAACACTGGCTGTCAGATGGCATTTAATTCTTTGTCAAATCTCAACACTATCTTGAGCTGCACAAGACACCTTCTTCCAATAATACGTTTTTTTCTGAGAAAGGCCTAGCTGCCTCCTTTCTTACATTTTCAGAAAACGGCTGTTGTCTCTGGCTCTGCTCCTCACTGACTAGCTGTCAACCCTGAGCCTTTTTCTGGTTTGACAGGGTCCCTTCTCTCCGCTTCCTGAACCCAGCTGCCAGTGATCAGATTTCCTTTTCCTCTCACATTTCCCACAAGAACAGGATATAGAAAACCTTTCTGTCCAGCCACAGCCAGTCCTTCTGGACAGATAATACAGAAACACTACATCATATAGCAGAAAAACAGTAACTCCTTCATGTCTCAGTATTGTTTAAACTAGTAGAAAGTATTGAAGTTATCTGAGGAAATGAGAATTTTAATTTACCCATCTGTATGTCTAATGCTGTCTTTTAGCTCCTCTAGAATATGTCAGGAAAACCATGAAGCAACTGAAGAAAGTGATCTCAGTTTCCCAGTGGTAGTTTTGGAAATTTGTATGACTATATTATACCCTTCACATAAAATCAGAGCCTCTTCCTTAACCTGAGGCTAGACCAAAAGGAAAATCTTTTGAGATAATAATACAGGTTTAACATTTTCTCTAGATGGGGCACATTTCCAGATTTAAAGAGGATATTGCCAGGAAAGATCTACAAATGATTGTGAGTCAATGACTTAAATACAATCTCAATTTTTATATATATACACATATATATATTTTGACCCATGTTGCCTGAGCCATAAAACTGTAATCAGCGTAGGGCTTTTCATGCCAAAGGCAGGGGTAGCTTCATATGCAATGAACCACTCACATCTAATTGAGACTCCAGATTTGGATTTTGAGACAGCTGGAAACTTTTATTAAGTACTGGCACTTCTTAAAACTTTATTTGGATTGAGTCAAACTACATCAACTTAAAAAAAAAAAAAAAAGATAAAAAAAATCAAGGGGATTTTAGAACTTACTATGCTAAGAAAACTAATCTTATTTTAATTTATTCTATCAGTTTGCAATCATACAGTCGAAAAGTTTGCAGGGTAGCATCTACTCTGAACATAAATTTGTCTGTTCTTTCAGAACCCCAGAGTAGTCTGTTCCCATAAAATTGGCTGTTCTGTGCTTTAAAGTTAAGAAGATAATTGCTGTGAGTGTGCGTGCATATATATATATATCTAAAATAGATAAAATACTGAGATTAAAGACCATATTAGAATATTCAAAGATGGAGGGAAAAATTCCATTTAAATTTGGTTGTAACCACTTAAATGGCTAAAATTGTTCATCATTTAAATCATGTCCTCAATTAGAAGCCTAATTTCTATGTGTTTTTTTTTTCATTTTCCTATTCTTGGGTGATCAGGTACACACAGCTCCTGGTTTCTTCTAGAGGTTTTGGGCACTGTCTGTGCAACACACAAAGATGCTATTTTTGGATGCTTAATTTCAGTTTATTCTTGTTCTATAAATTGGTATGAAGCAAAAAATATGTACATTCAAGGACTTGCAAGTTTTGTCTTCTAAGAGAACAAAGTTCTTTACTTACAGTAGAAGAACCTCTTAAGAATAAAAATAAACAGTAACAACACTTCATATACAACATTCAGTGAAAGAAAGTTTAAAAAATCCATGCTGTGGTAGACAGATTTTGCCACTTACATCTGTTATCATTTTCCCTCTGGTCTTGTTTCTTTCCCTGTGGTTAGCTCGTTTCTGTTTTTGCTGCAAAACTCGTTCCCTGGTGGTGCGGTATTCCAGAGCAAATTCGCTAATAATTTTGCAGAACTTATTGATGTTGACTTCACGTATTGCATAGGGAGGATGGCCCATAAATAACAAAAATGAGTGAAACCTGGAAAACAATGAGTTCATAAATGCAAGGGAAAAAATATTTATTGATGGTTCCTGGGGAAAAAAATCCCACATTTCAGTGAATCCATTTATTTCTTTATTAGCTCCCATCCTTTCTTTTGTGCTACAGAATTTTCATGGATGCTTTGCATAACACTGTCATGTTTTATAATTAAAACCATGAAAGTCTAGCCTATGATAACTCATCCTAGTCCACTTTCCCAGGCTGATGCAGGAGATAAGATGTTTATAGAACTCCATCTACTTTATATGACTAATTTGGCATGTGAATGACCGATTTCATTTCAGTTATAGAAAAAATATTTATTAAGTTTCAATTCTATTTATTTGTATTAAGCAACTTCAAAGAGGTTGTTAGGATGTTGGGGAAAGTCTAGACAAGAAGAATGTAGATTTACAGGCTAGCAAACACAAGAAGGAAAGAATTTCTGGTTCACAAAACTGACCATAAAATTATATTATCTACCAAGTACTTTAGTTTGGGATACTCTCAATTCACAGTTTTACTGCTTCTGTGGTATTCAGAACTTTTGCACTATTTGCAAATTTTACTACTGCTTTTATATTGCATGATTTACAACAGCGTACTGAATGTTTAAAAATGTATGGGGATTCCTTTTAACTGCATCTACACCCTTGATGATAAAAAGACTTCCCAATCTTTGAAAGACGTGAGTACATGGATACATTTTTGGAGAACTATAGCAGTAGTTGCAGGACATAATAGGAAAAAGTTAATATTTTTCTATTTGTACAATGTGTATGATTAACACAACAGGAAACTGATGAATTCACTTCCCTTCCACTGCAGTTGGGATTTCTGTTTTCTTATGGCATGAAAACCGAGTCATTATGAAAACAAAGAAGAGCTGAATCAACTTCTCAAGTGTATATCAACAAATTTGGCATCATTTGGAATCCAGATCCTAATTTTGACCACAGCAATTTGGAAATTATTCAGAAGTTGGAAAATCTCTCAAAATTTCATTAATAAGCAGGAACATAAACAAATTACTCGGATGACTTAAGCTACATTTGTGAACCTGAAAAAAAAAAGCTCAGGTGTATTGCAGAATTATCACGAATATGTACCTTTCAAAGCACTGCAATTACTGTTAACTCCACTGGATGAAACTAAACCCAACAGCAAGTCCTAAGGAGAGGAATCTTAATTCTGTCTTCTACTGTGTAAGTCTTAAACACATAGTCATAGATCTTGCAAATAGGAGTGGTGCTGCCTATAGAAGAACTCATTGTACAAGACTTGTTTCAACTTCTGCATATGACAAATTTGTCATTAGAACTTAAGTTTTTTTGCTACAGCCTGTTCTTGTTTATCAGATGGTAAGCCAACCCTCCATAAAAGTATTCAGGGAAGGACAGAAAATATAGTAGCTTCATCATAAAGCTGCTAGCTTTTGGGGCTAGAAGTTAAAAGACCCAGTTATTGTACCTTGTGAATAAATGATTGCCTGGATCATTGCTTCTTTTAATCAGAAATGTAGAAACTTTCTAGAGTGGGGATCTTTCTTAAATGGCATCTATAACAAAGTATGCATCATATACATCCTGGTAACATTACTTCCTGGAATGTGGATTAAACACTTACTAAAAATATAGCTATGATGTCATAATTTGTAATTTTAGCAAGTAATTTATTATCAAGATATTGCTGTCACCAATCTAACTTTGTACCTGTTAATTATTCTTCTATGAACAATCTTGAGGATTATGATTCTTTCTGCACAGTCTTTAAGGAACTCGGACATTTTTTGCTTTAGACTTGGCTTCATTTCATGCTTTGCTATAGCCTTAAGGTGATCCCATGATGCTTTGCACCGTCTTTCCATCTGACACAAGTTCTCCTGGAGTTGTTCAAAGTCAACCTGAAAAAAAAGAAAAGAAAATGTAACACTTTAAGTGAAAACACTGCGGTAGTATCTTTGAATATCTGAACAATATAATGTATGTATAAGAAAGAGTCAATGTAGTGGCAGCACAACATAATTCACATTATTAATTACTACTAAATAATTAAGAAATAGCATTCTCTGTCTCACTTTGTCTAGACATGAAATGTTAGTAAGGAAAACTGAAAACAAAGAAATACTCATATACATACATATTTGGTTTTAGTCTCAGAGGCCTAACACCTAAAGAAGGGACAATAAAATGCTGTGATGTGTTTTTTCCCTTGCTAATAACTTCATGCCTACACCAAGCAGATGCATGACTCAGTTAATTCTGAGGTAATACAAAACTTTCTCTTTTTCTTAATCCTTTTCTCTAGCTTTTTATACCCTGTTTACTGCTCACTGTTGTACCCAGCCAACATTTCTCCAATTTAGGAAGCACTTGGATCTATTCCCTAGCCATACATTGACTTGTTAATAGACGATCTACTTGTAATCACAAAATTTACGGGCCAGAGTTTTTTAAAGTTCTACTGAAAGTAAGTGTTATTTAGTGATCTCAGCACTAACCTTCATCCCTTGATATACAGTATGAATTTGCTGGCTTGTAACAAGATCGTATAATGGCTTTGAAAGTCTCTCAACACAGTTAAAATAAATGACTGCATCCTACAGTAACATTCATCAGGACAGAAGCCAACACATTCCACAGAAGGTGAGAGAGTGCTTCTCCTTTATTCATCAACCAAAAAAGGTGTTCAAATCGCAATGGTCTACAGAAGACATTCAGGATGTGTTGCTAACAACTGGACAAAACGCATTAACAACCTAGCCACAGCACACAACAGATGAAAAAAGTAAAACTACCCAACATGTTCTTGAACTCTGAAGAAAGGAAAAATTTATTTTATAATACCACTTCACAGTTCAGAAGAACTCAAGCTATAAAATACAGATTTAGCTCTCAGATTCTAAGCACTGTCAGTGCTTGGGATGTTACAGTCTGGTATTCTAGTTAATTCCTTAATGCTAAATGAAAACCAGTGCCAGAGACAGGTTTTAGTTCACTCTTTTTAGCTGTGTGCAGTACCCACTGCTGAGACCTATACTGAGGATAGCCATAAGAAATGCATTATTATTAAAAAGCTCCTGGTATTGATTTGATTTGTTTTTGCTGTGATTTATAAAGTGATGAATTTTTCCTCTTCACAAGGAAATAAAAATATCCTTTGATCCATTCCGCTACTCAGAAAAGCCCTGCAGGCGGAGCAGCTGTGGGGTTTTTGTTTTCCTTATATCCATATCAATGTGCATGTTTAAAAAAAAAAAAAGAAGGCTTTTCCAGGTCAGTATTTTCACTGTGGGTGATAAACACATTGCAGCTCTCCCTAGATGATATATCTAAAACACACATGAGGAAAAAATACTAGTATTCATATTAAGAAAAAAAAGCCAAGAGGAGGTACTTCTAGGTCTTACTAGTAAGAATTATCTAACCTGGCTGGGGAAGTCTCTCAGCTGCTGCAGCAGAGAAATTTAATTTTATGATGTTTTATGACAGCTTTCACTGAAAACAGAATGAGTTTTAAGCTACCAGAAAGTTCTGAGGTTCAAGCCCGCAGGAGTTCAAGAGACATCTGTGGAGAACAGCTTATCTACAGGGAAAAGATGTGGCGAATCCCCTGCCCCTTGAAATCTGCCATCAGCCAGCGCATTCACAAGAATGGGCAGTTCCAGCAAGGACTGGGGATGGCAGGACAGGCTAAGGGATGCACAGGAATTTTTTGAGCACAAACCAAAATTCAGATCTCTGGGGAAGTCCTAAGGAGACCGCAGCAAGGACAATGCCACCGAAGTTCCCCTGGAGTGAACCTCTGTAGAGCACAGGTGGCTTTGCTCGAGCAGAAGCTGTTAACTCCTGGAAGAAGTAAAGCAGGAAATCCAATATAGGATAACGTGCCTGGGCATTCTCCACATGCAAACTGTCCTGTGCCTGCAAGAATGTGACAAACATTCACGAAATCTAAAATCTTGTGGCTGCCAGCTCTCCAAAGTTCGGTCACTTCTTTGTGGACATAAGTCAAAATTTTTCAGAGACAACCAGATACCCCAGCTGATATTTCATGAAGTGCTATTTGTCTTGTGCAAATTTTGCAGGTAGATGCAGAATCCATGGCATTTCAGTCTGCTCTAGGTCTTACAGGCAAGGAGTTAAGTTTCTTCACAGGTGATAAACCACACAACATCCCTTTCCCCTATCCAAGGGGTAGAAACCACCTCCCAACAGGGCACCAGGTAACAAAGGTAAGTCTTCAGATCCTTCTAAAAAAACAAGCAACCAAACAAAAAGACTAACATTTACCAGCCAGCTGACAAGATTTTTCCTACTAAATCTTGCAGAAGTGAGATTTTAAATGTTCAGGCTGGATCAGCTCAAAAGGAAAAATCAGTTAAAAATATTTGGACTCTCCTACCAAATGTATCAAAACATTCGATAGTTTGCAGCTTTAGAGTACTACCTGCATGATATTTCAAATCACAGAAAACAAGCTTTCCCCCTCTTTTTCTTCTAACACCAACAGCACTACTGTGATGCTCTCCAATGGGAAAGAGTGTAACGTGACATGCACAGTCACCCCCCCGTACCTCCTCTCTAATTTACATACCTTGCCTTCATGTTTCCTCTGTCATCCCCTTTTTTCCTTCAGTGCTGGTGTTCAGATAAGAAATTAGCCATAAGCCTGTTAGCACAGTAAAGCCAAAGACAGATCCACTGACCACTGATCTTTTAACTAGACTCTTCTGCAATTGCAGACACTTGTACACAGGATCCAGGTGATGGTTTATTCTAGGCTACTGGAATGTAATATCCAGGTTGCATGCCAGCAATTGGTGTACGTTAAGCATATATATCAACTCTCACATACACTGGCTTTCCACTGCAATCTGAAATAGCAGTATGTATTTTTAACTGATAAAATACACCAAAATCCTATTGAAGTACTATGCTCTTATTCTGCAAACTCTTACATTTTCTAACCCTTATAATGTGTTGGAATATTAACCAAGACAGACAGCTATTAATTCTCTTAATTATGAGCACCAGATTCCACTGAAAAGCAGGATCCTAATGAATTTGGCATCCTCATATCCTTGTCTTTCTTCACTGTGAAGCCAAATGTATCATGGACATAAAGAAGCTTTTATAATATTCTGAGCAGCAGCAGTCCAATAACTATGTGGCCAACAAGCTCCTCCATTTTATGCACATTTCTATCATAAAACAGCAGGTACTTGCATCAATGGAAAATGTAAATAAAATACAAATCCAACTGAAAAGCAAAACTTTTGCCTCACTTTAACTGAGGTAACCAACCATGAAAGATGAGCACAGTGGTCCAAACCTACATCTAATATTTGTGCACAGATGTTTAAAAGCAGTCACATTGTTCAGCCATATCCTTCTAATTTCCTTTTTTGGGGGTAATTTTTTCTGTTATTGTTGTTCTGTTTAGGATGTCTCCTAACACTGAAAGTGTTATATACAAATATAACAATAACAATGATGATAAATGATCCCCCCAACTTGTTCCTATGATAAGAACAAGAACTTCTGTGGAGTAGTAATGACAATTATTCAAACTAATATGCATAAAGGAAACATGAAAAGGCATATATAATACCATACTACCTCCCTGTCAGTCCACACAGCATTCCCAAGGGAGCATGGATTGCACCTTTTTATTGATGTGTTTATTTCTAACGCTTTACTAAAAGAATTAATGCTGCATAATGGTACAAAGATGAGATTCCTTTTTCTGTTTTGTTCTTTCTTTCTTGAAAGGAAAGATGCACCAATTCTCACCTGCAGCTGGAAGGTCATGCTGGGACTAAGAAGGAATTCAGATGAGTTGTGGCTCCAGGAGACCTCAGCATAGGAGGTGCTCAGACACGAACTGTTGTGGCATTATTTTATAACTATGCTCCACTGAATCAAAGGAAGCAGTAATCTGAAATAGTCCTTATAGGTTTCTCCTTGGATAGCGGCATGTGGATGTTGTGTCTGGCCCTAGCATTTGGAGAAAGGTGGAAACATACATTCTTCTTCCTCCTCACTACATGTATGTGCAAAAGACATGGAGCTTGCTGGTCCTGCTTACTGTTGCCTTCTGCTACAACTTTAAAAAAAAATTTCTTTTTTTTCCTCAGGCAAAAGAATGAGTGGTCTTAGGCTGTTATGCAAAACATAAATGTCTTTTCTTTCAGACACTATGTAATGTTTATTTTAATTTGTAAATGAATTTAGAAAAAGCAACTTTCTAAATGCTCCTGGGATATACTTGATATGTTCCTTCTTTCTCCTGCCAGGTTCCTCTCAATTCACAACCACACTAGCAGAAAAATATTCAGAACTATTTGTTATTTATCTGTGAAATCTCTTGCTAGGCCCACTGTTCAGTCTTCTGAGAAGTGCCTTTGTAGACACTGTTGCATCAGAGTGGAGTAGCCAGAGAGAGTCTATCCAAATAGGATTTAAAGACTAGTTTACCCCTGCAGGGTCAGCCTCATTCAGGAAATCACTGCTATAAGTCACTAATGGGCAACTTTAAAAATAAAAATCTATTTTTCAATTTAATGTACCACCATATTTTGCACAAATGACACAGACCAAGAATGAAACCTTCCAACCACATGCAAGCCACACCAGCACTCATTTTAATCCTTTGATATCATTATTTATTGCTTGCTACCATAGTAACAGATGACTCTGCCATAAACACCACCACAAAAAAGAGTTCTACCAAGTTTCTCACTTCATTGGGCTGAGAATTCAATATTGCATGATACACCTACTGCCCAAATGACTTCTGTTCTCGCTGGTTTTCACCTGACTCAAAAACTACCACTACCACCAAATGGCTCAGCAGTTACTTCCCTGCCCATTTAGGTTCCATGAATACTGGCCCTTTAAA